CGAACATGGGCCATGCAGGTCGTCCTTGAAAGAGTTTGTAACTCCAGTCCCAGGGATTAGGCTGAGTATCTCTCTGTTTTACGCGGCGACTAAATTTGGTTGCAGCTGGTTGTTTTACTGTAGCCTAGTCAGGGGGGATACAGTATTATTGCTGTACTCAGAATCTGGTGTGAACACCTAAGTTTCGTTCTTTTTGTTGTACAGATGGGTGCAGCTGTAACATTTGAAGAAGACTGGGGAAAAGCGCCCTCACGTGCATGTTTTTGAAACAGTTGTAACGTAGACCTTATCTTCAGCCCCGCTCTCAGATCCTGTATTTATAATTTATTTAACGACACCTTTTCATTAGCCCAGACTACAGCGTCAGTTCCTTTAGTTAATTTTAGTTCCAAACGTTTCAGTCGCAAAATTTGGCTGCTATTGTTCCTGGGTTAAATAAAATTGTTCTTGTCTGTCATTATTAGAGACCCTGAGTTGAAATCCCGTTGGTCGGATATTTTGTGATGTGTGTATAATGTTTATTTTTTTACCCCAAATTTCCCTAGGCATATTCCCAGTATTGATTTCCTCTTTGTCGTGGTTAAATCGAGGATTGTGGTGTGCAGAAAGACGTCGAGGCGATACCGATTGGTGTGTCTTCGTATAAGCAGGACGCACTCTAGTAACTTTATATATACACGTTTATTCCAATAAAATCGGAGTCTTCGTGTTTCTTCCACATTCCCTTTTCAGAAAGCCTCAGCCGTGAGAAAAATATATTAAAGCCTACGTTGGGACGATACCGACCTAAATTGTAATTATCGACGTAGTCGAGCCAAGGAAATTCTTTGTACGGCCCTGTAGATTTTATATATATGAACTGGCAAACAACATTACCTCCATATTTTGCGCTCTTTTGATCTCATTGTGCAATGACGAACAAACGTGGAGTCCGTTCAGAACGCTTCGTTCTTTATAGCGAACTAAAGCTGGTTATGTGTTTGGCGCTGGTTCCCGACGCGCAAGTGTGCACCGTACTCGTCCAGTACAAGGGACTCTTATTCCTGTATCTGGCTATTAGACCTAATGCCAGCTCTGATAGGGGACGGAGCTGAGGGCAATCAAAATACCGGAACGTTGAGGTTAAAAAGACCACTGGACAGGCTCCAGCTTACAGATCAGACAGTAATAAGACTCTAAAATTAACTTCTGTTTTTAATGAGGATGCTCTATTAAAATATCAGATATTTTCTGCCTTTACTCCTCCCACTTATACACCTATTACAGTCTGCTTTATTTAACGCGTAAGATTTAAATGTGAAGGAGAAATCCTTGTTCTAATGCAACATCCCTAATGCCGCATGAGTTCAAAACAAGCTGATCCTTAATTGGTCAATTCTGTCGAAGCTGTTAACTGTCACTACTACAACAACAACTACTATGTTGCGATTATCTAATCAAGGAGGATGAGATGTGCGGTGCATGTAGCACGCATTGAAGCGATGAGAAATTCGCACAGAAATATAGTAGGTTTAGAACTTAAGGGAAGACGGTATAGTGAACCTGGGCCTTCATAAAAGTCTTAACTTCTTGCCTAGCTGAGCGACTATTAGCTTTCTGGTGACTGTTGAACAGTGTTGGTTCATTTTAATAACCATGCTAGGTTCATGGAAAATTTATATGAACAGCTGACGCAAATACGTTTCTTTCGTTTGAAGTCAGTTGAGTCACAATCAGCTTTGGAATAAATGTTATTAATTTTTTGTGTTGTTCAGTGACAGAACGTCCTTTAATTGTTTCACCCACTTGTAGGATACACGAGATGATTTTCTTTTCATTATTTTTTAAGTTGATTTTCAATGAATTTTGCTCATAGAACTTCGTCTCCTTGTGAGGTCTTGGATGTCCGTAGGATTCGAGAAGCGTCTTACAGTAAATAATATGAGTGGCTGCAATTTCTCTGCCTGCTATGACCCGCAAGAATGTTAATAATATAGGGGCCAACAAGGTGCAGGAGGAATAGTTCACATTTTTCTCGTACTTTCTGGATAATTTTGTGGAGCTATTGGATGAGTGGTCTCTAGTGCTACCAACTTGTGTTAAAGAGTTTCAGTGAGTGGTGGGGGAAAGGGGTTGAGCTAGGAGGGTGTGTGAAAATGGGAGTGGTGTAGTAACTAAATCAGGTGATTCCTATGCGTCCCGACGCCTCTAACTGGCGCGTCATTACCGACTACTTAGGCAAGGGAGCACAAGCGGGCAATGTGGAGGAAAGCGAAATGGTAAATAAGGAACGAGAAACAGTGTAATGCGATAAAAATGAAGCAGCGAAGAGGACGTTTTAAGAATATGAGAGTCAGGGTGGAAATTTTCGTACATATAAAAGACGATGATTTTTGAGGTCGACATTACAAGACGTGAAGGAAAGTCACACACGACTTTTTGGAGGATAAAATAATTTTTCAAGGCGCAGGGTTTTCGGGTGATTAATGTTTTCCTGGATTATGGACGAATCTTTAACGATGGAGACGTTGATTTTAAACTTATAGTTTCTTGGTTTCCGCAAATTGCATTGCCCAAATGCACACACGCCTTTTAGGTATTAAAGATATAAAACCGAAAACAGAACATTATTTTTCCCGTCTCACAGGATATTAACCATTGGAATTCGTTTCCCGGTCGAGGCAGAAATATTTTCCTTTATCACCTCGTCTCGTTTGGTTCTGGGATAGACAGACGTAGCTTCCTGTTCAACGATGAAGATTTTTTTTAGTACTCATGTCTGTGGTCATTATTTTGGACATTGTCCATCGTCGTTTAACATAACTTTTCGCAAACCAGGTCTGTTTTCGTTATTGGGTAGTGGGTGTAAAAGGTTTCTATTCAGTTGGACCATTTTGACAGAGCCAGACTCTCAGTTCCTAGGTTTTGTGGTTAAAGTTTCCGGAGCCTGAAGATATCTTCGTCTGCATCTAGTACTGACGTTTGGAATGCGTGAAATTTATTTCTACCACACCACATGGTGCAACGTCCCGGAAGATAAACATCTTAATATATTTGTAATAAAGAAATATTTTTTGAACTGTGTGTACAGCACCGTCGTCGGTGCATTGGTTTTTTGCAATTATCATTCGTGTTTCATAATGACAGTAATGCCTAATCCCCAAGTAGCAGAAATATGCAGATACCATCCAGCCCCTCTGCTAGTGTCATTAGTTTTCTGAGTAACGTACTCGAGACGCCTCTGACATAGTCTCTTGCGCTATTGGCAGTCCACTAGGTTTTAATGTGTGGCAGGGAAACAAAAATGAGATCGCAGGGATTGAGTGGAGTGGCAGGACAGTATGAACCCAAAATACTTGTTCGTACGGGCAAGCATTGACTTGAAGTATGGAGAAAATAAGCAGTAAAGACATTGCCTGTTGAACTAGTGAGATATACAAGAGTGAGGGTGATGGGGTTTGCAGTGGCCGCGCTGTCTGAGGCGTGGGCCTTGTGCCGCTTGGTCGATGGGACCGTGGGTTCGAATGCCACTCAAGCCATGGATGTTTTTCTGTGTTGTGCTGTCCTGTGTACAGGTAGATGCCTTGCGACGGGCCGATCCCTCGTCTAAGGAGTCCTACCGAAATGTCTATAGATCGAGCCAACGAAAAGTTGGGACCCGCAGTGCTCAGGCATTTGAAGAACGGGTCGTTCCCAGTATCCCAGTGTTATATGACACTAATGATTGCAGTCTATTGATTTCCTTTGACCGTCATGTAGGAGCTGACCTTCACATAAGGTTTCCTTGGTGTTATGTGACCAGCAGTTGTCCAGTGCTAAATGAAGCTCCTAAACATGAATGGCTAGATAGGGGACCACTTCCCCTCGTCATTATGCCATGTGCATTCCTGATCAAATACTGCAGAAGATTTATAGATATCTCCTGCAATAGTATTGGTCATTACTAAGCAGGGGTGGGAAAACCGTGGTATACGTGGAATATACTGCTGATTCTCTAATCGTTGACAGTGCATGATTTTCTTATGTGCTATTATGCTGGACACTGCATATTCTGAGTTATAACTTTATTCATTTACTGAGTGTTTTTTTTTGGGGGGGGGGACTTGGCCATATTCCAATTTCTATCATGTCACAAGCTGGTTTATGGTATATTTACAGATGTCAGAATCAGGTTGTGGTGGTGGAGTTCGGATTCTCCAAGATTATTCCCAAGTGTCTGTCGCAAATTCCTAACCCTCAGCTGGAAAGTCAAAATCCAATTGACGGTCATATTCCCATTTGAAAAAAGTTAATTTAATTACAGTTCAGTCTGAATCTTAATATTACATTTCCCCATACATTTATGTGGAATCATTACAACACGAAAATTTTTTAAATGCAGTTCATTATGTTGTCGCAGTGTTTATATAGAACAGTTGTATTCAATCTAGGGTACGCGTACCCCCGGGGGTACGTGAAATTTAAATATATATATCTATATATATTATTTTATGATAAACACTGAATAATCAAGGCCAGATTTAGGGTTGGCCACAGGAGAACCGGACGTAAAGACATTCGATTTGGGAGCCCCCCCTCCTTTATGCAATTCTTATCTGGGCGGCAGAAACAAGCTCAATCATCTCATTAACAGGTCTGAACCACATTAATTACTAATTGATTTTAAAAAATTTTGCTTTGCTAAAATACCTTTGTTCCATTATTAATTTTTATATGATAGACAATAATGTATTTATTGTTTAATATCTTGATTTTCCTTTTTCTCATTTAAAACTTATTATTTAATACATTATTTTGGATGTAATTTGTTTAATTTATTTTAGATGTAGATTATATACTATGTATAACTTGAATTATACACCAACAACTTTGTAAGTTGAAGAGAAATTATGTCTGGGGGTACGCGAACAAAAAAGGTTGAATACCACTGATATAGATTGTTGAGCCATGTGATTCCTTCCTGGAAATAGCTTACAGTTGTAAGGAAGAAATGTAAACATGTTCTCATCTCTTGTTAACAGTCGCAGGAAGAAGCATCAGCGTCACTCAGGAGATGACCGGCGCTTGATCCTGGGTGTGTCTGGTTCAGGTGACCCGGACGATGAACCAGAACCAGGAAAGAGTCGACCCTGGTTATGGCGAGTTATGAGGGCCGCTCTGCCCTTCCAAATGGCCATTGTCGCACTTTTCTGCGTTGCATGTCTGCTGGAGCCCCACTGTTGCGATGCTATGAACAACTTGAACCTATCGCTGACGCCCCAGCTCCGTTATGTGAGAGGCCCTCCCCCAGTCTGAACTGTTACCATTGCCATCAATTTTGTATTTGTGATGTCATCAGCGCTTCAGGGTATGCGCCGAGATATTCGTAAAGGGACTGTCGCAAGAAGCCGAATATAAATGTCATTAATGTATAAAAGGAAATCAGATTTGGTGTCCTTGCCGCATGGAACTCTGATACTGAATCTATGTCTAATGGATGGAATGTACCTGGTAGACTTTATTTTTTGATGCTACGTAGGATGAATTTATTTTACGATGTGTAATTGTAGCTCCAATTTCCGTACTTTGATATTTTGACTGACACAAAACTGACAATTTTCTAATCATTGAGGTACAATAAGCTCAGATGACGGTAAAATCTAGTACAAGTATTTTAATATTCTTTGTAGTCATAAATTTGTATGCAGTGTTTGATTCTTACTGTGTACGTCTTTCACCGTTTTGTAATGTCGTAGCAACTGTACTGTAGTTTTCACGTGCTTGAGTAACTACTGTAAGAAGACCAATAGCATTTCTTTAGAAGTCCCTCGGGTTAGAGGAACCTATTCATTTCTAGATGAATGAGTAGAGAATTTATTTTACTCCTTGAAAAATATTCAGATGTAAACTATCAGGATAAAGGAATAATTATTTACCTGGTTTCCTTTGCAATAAGTTAGGATTAATTTCTTCAGAAATGTAATGGGTTCTATAAAAAATACAAATAAGACTTTCGTATATCGCTATGCACTTTTCTCGAGGCTTCTGTTCTGATTTGCTTCTCACATGGGAATGTTTTAATTTAAAAGGATGACACGCTGGAAATACTTAATCACAGATAAATACAGTCAAAAGGATGTTGTTCCTTACTCCTTTCTGAGAAATAAGGTCTTCTGTTTTAGACAATGGGGTTTGCGAAAGAGATCGCTATTCTTGAAGATTTCCGTCTTCTGGGTTGTTGCGTCATAGTCTGGTAGATGTTTACCAACGTTTCAGAGGTCACACTGCCACCGTCATCAGCGCAAGAACCCAGAAGACAGAAATCTTCATACTCACCGTTGTGAAAACCTCAAATCTTACATCGCTATTCTTGTTGCAAGAGAAAGTATTTTAATTTAAAAAAATCGTTTATCCAGTTGTGACGCAAAGTGGCATTCTGTCATGACAGTTCTCATTTAAATATTGGCCGATCCCTCGTCTAAGGAGTCCTACCGAAATGTCTATAGATCGAGCCAACGAAAAGTTGGGACCCGCAGTGCTCAGGCATTTGAAGAACGGGTCGTTCCCAGTATCCCAGTGTTATATGACACTAATGATTGCAGTCTATTGATTTCCTTTGACCGTCATGTAGGAGCTGACCTTCACATAAGGTTTCCTTGGTGTTATGTGACCAGCAGTTGTCCAGTGCTAAATGAAGCTCCTAAACATGAATGGCTAGATAGGGGACCACTTCCCCTCGTCATTATGCCATGTGCATTCCTGATCAAATACTGCAGAAGATTTATAGATATCTCCTGCAATAGTATTGGTCATTACTAAGCAGGGGTGGGAAAACCGTGGTATACGTGGAATATACTGCTGATTCTCTAATCGTTGACAGTGCATGATTTTCTTATGTGCTATTATGCTGGACACTGCATATTCTGAGTTATAACTTTATTCATTTACTGAGTGTTTTTTTTTTGGGGGGGGGACTTGGCCATATTCCAATTTCTATCATGTCACAAGCTGGTTTATGGTATATTTACAGATGTCAGAATCAGGTTGTGGTGGTGGAGTTCGGATTCTCCAAGATTATTCCCAAGTGTCTGTCGCAAATTCCTAACCCTCAGCTGGAAAGTCAAAATCCAATTGACGGTCATATTCCCATTTGAAAAAAGTTAATTTAATTACAGTTCAGTCTGAATCTTAATATTACATTTCCCCATACATTTATGTGGAATCATTACAACACGAAAATTTTTTAAATGCAGTTCATTATGTTGTCGCAGTGTTTATATAGAACAGTTGTATTCAATCTAGGGTACGCGTACCCCCGGGGGTACGTGAAATTTAAATATATATATCTATATATATTATTTTATGATAAACACTGAATAATCAAGGCCAGATTTAGGGTTGGCCACAGGAGAACCGGACGTAAAGACATTCGATTTGGGAGCCCCCCCTCCTTTATGCAATTCTTATCTGGGCGGCAGAAACAAGCTCAATCATCTCATTAACAGGTCTGAACCACATTAATTACTAATTGATTTTAAAAAATTTTGCTTTGCTAAAATACCTTTGTTCCATTATTAATTTTTATATGATAGACAATAATGTATTTATTGTTTAATATCTTGATTTTCCTTTTTCTCATTTAAAACTTATTATTTAATACATTATTTTGGATGTAATTTGTTTAATTTATTTTAGATGTAGATTATATACTATGTATAACTTGAATTATACACCAACAACTTTGTAAGTTGAAGAGAAATTATGTCTGGGGGTACGCGAACAAAAAAGGTTGAATACCACTGATATAGATTGTTGAGCCATGTGATTCCTTCCTGGAAATAGCTTACAGTTGTAAGGAAGAAATGTAAACATGTTCTCATCTCTTGTTAACAGTCGCAGGAAGAAGCATCAGCGTCACTCAGGAGATGACCGGCGCTTGATCCTGGGTGTGTCTGGTTCAGGTGACCCGGACGATGAACCAGAACCAGGAAAGAGTCGACCCTGGTTATGGCGAGTTATGAGGGCCGCTCTGCCCTTCCAAATGGCCATTGTCGCACTTTTCTGCGTTGCATGTCTGCTGGAGCCCCACTGTTGCGATGCTATGAACAACTTGAACCTATCGCTGACGCCCCAGCTCCGTTATGTGAGAGGCCCTCCCCCAGTCTGAACTGTTACCATTGCCATCAATTTTGTATTTGTGATGTCATCAGCGCTTCAGGGTATGCGCCGAGATATTCGTAAAGGGACTGTCGCAAGAAGCCGAATATAAATGTCATTAATGTATAAAAGGAAATCAGATTTGGTGTCCTTGCCGCATGGAACTCTGATACTGAATCTATGTCTAATGGATGGAATGTACCTGGTAGACTTTATTTTTTGATGCTACGTAGGATGAATTTATTTTACGATGTGTAATTGTAGCTCCAATTTCCGTACTTTGATATTTTGACTGACACAAAACTGACAATTTTCTAATCATTGAGGTACAATAAGCTCAGATGACGGTAAAATCTAGTACAAGTATTTTAATATTCTTTGTAGTCATAAATTTGTATGCAGTGTTTGATTCTTACTGTGTACGTCTTTCACCGTTTTGTAATGTCGTAGCAACTGTACTGTAGTTTTCACGTGCTTGAGTAACTACTGTAAGAAGACCAATAGCATTTCTTTAGAAGTCCCTCGGGTTAGAGGAACCTATTCATTTCTAGATGAATGAGTAGAGAATTTATTTTACTCCTTGAAAAATATTCAGATGTAAACTATCAGGATAAAGGAATAATTATTTACCTGGTTTCCTTTGCAATAAGTTAGGATTAATTTCTTCAGAAATGTAATGGGTTCTATAAAAAATACAAATAAGACTTTCGTATATCGCTATGCACTTTTCTCGAGGCTTCTGTTCTGATTTGCTTCTCACATGGGAATGTTTTAATTTAAAAGGATGACACGCTGGAAATACTTAATCACAGATAAATACAGTCAAAAGGATGTTGTTCCTTACTCCTTTCTGAGAAATAAGGTCTTCTGTTTTAGACAATGGGGTTTGCGAAAGAGATCGCTATTCTTGAAGATTTCCGTCTTCTGGGTTGTTGCGTCATAGTCTGGTAGATGTTTACCAACGTTTCAGAGGTCACACTGCCACCGTCATCAGCGCAAGAACCCAGAAGACAGAAATCTTCATACTCACCGTTGTGAAAACCTCAAATCTTACATCGCTATTCTTGTTGCAAGAGAAAGTATTTTAATTTAAAAAAATCGTTTATCCAGTTGTGACGCAAAGTGGCATTCTGTCATGACAGTTCTCATTTAAATATTTCACCCCCATCTACTGCCGAGGTCAAGAATGAGTACGAACTATACCTCCTCTTCCCCCAAGCGCCTACATGGCGTATAGTGGGACAGCTTTACTTACTATGTTGGGAGGCAGTTCCGTGACGTACTTAACAGTTAATAGCCTAGTTAATAATGTTCAAGACTGAATGAAGTAAGACGCAAACACTGCCGTTGATGCTAAGGCACATTGTGTGAAATTTCACTAATCAGAATCCATTCTGTGGGTATCAGTTTCTGGATACGCTGATAATGACCTCAGTCCAGAAATTTGATTTTTTTTGATGTTTATATGTGTAATGAATTCTGTGAATAGTGTTCATACAAAAATGTATGACAAATATTTATGAGAAAGAATAATTATTTAACCTGATTAGTTACGAATATAATTTTATTTTGTACATAAGTGTATATGGCGGCAGTAATTATGAATCATGTATATAGTTTGAATGATACGCACGTTGTAAATTAGTTGTGAAATACGTACTTGAATTTTGTTAGATTAATTTTTTTATATAAACTTTTCTATAAATTGGGGTTCAGTTTTTATAATTAAGGAATTGCTCAAAGACGATCATTACGATAGTGCAAGGAAACTGCCCATGTAAAAGTGTCAATACGGTGTTCAGAACTTTAATTCATTGTTCTTGAAGACTTAGAGATAAAGTCAGTAGCGGCTTTTAAGTAACTGCGAGTAAGCAATATATAGATCATGAAACATTTTTTGAATTAGTCACGCATTTAAGGAAAAAACATTTGCATTTCTCTCAGCTCAGCTTTGAATTTTACCTTTCTTACTGCAGTTAGCATCGTCAGATGCGAAGTTACTGATTGGTTGAGCTGAAGAGAAGAGTGTGCAATACCGATCACGTCGCTGCGTAGATAATTCACTGCACTTCTGATTCAATGGATACTGAAGAACAGTGAAATTATCGTACGCCTATTCACGATTATACAAATGAATGGAGTAGGACATTTTGTTAAATCATGTTCTACCAGAGAAGATTTAAGTATTGTAACGGATTGAGTGCGTTTAATTTCGCATCTCCTCCCATTTTCATCAGTGAAATGGAGGGAAGGTGTACTGGATGCAAACTATCTGCAAGCTTGGGCTATGTCGCAGTAAGAGGGGAAGGGAAGAGGCCTTGTGCACTGTGCTGTCCCCCCCACCCCACCCCCAATCTGTGCGTATTTGTAAAGGTCATTGAAAGTTTGGAGATGGGTTGCAAGAAATCTGTGTCATGCTGACGTAAGAAACATTTCAAGACACTAACACTCGTATGGTTGTCCTTCATGAAGGTGGAAAGAATTTATGGAGCATGTAATAAAAAATACTGTTTTTTTATTACAAGGAACAAGTGACATTTTGTCGGACATAAAATGGCCGCCTTTGTTTTCACAGTTGTGTTCCCTTGTGCATGCGGTGTGCGCTTCAATGTACCTTCAAGTCGACTGCGTTTACTTCAACAGGTGAGAGAGTACGCTACCACTTATTATAAGTTTAAACGTGATCTGTGACATAAAGAAGGTGAGGGAATTGATTGTGATGTACAAACATTCAGAAAGAGAGCTAGATCAGAATTGTCTGACGAGTTACCGTCTTACGATGAATTAATTACAAAAATGAAAGACTTGATTCCAGCAGCGGCAGGGATTGCAAACGTCTTGAAATATAAGCAGGCTCAATTATGTTCATCATCGGTGATTGAGGGGAAAGGTTTCTGTGTACAGATCGCTTCTGTGGTTCGCTGGATTTGACTGTACGTTCAGTAGTTGCCTGATGCGGGCTGGAAGAAACAACATATGTCTTTGTGGCATTTTCTCTGTTCCGTTTGGGCTGCCACACCTTGGCGTGATTGCATGGTCGCGTATTATTCCAAGAACTGTTCTTATGAATTCCAAACATTGACAGAAATATCAATAATATATATATA